CAGTTTGAGATGATAATTATATATATAACCCTCATTTTATGTGTAACAGAATATAATGTAAATTTAGTATGTTTTGAAAACTTTGTAATCGCAAGTTATTACGTTACATGGTGGTGTAATAATATTAGTCAGGAATAATATACAATTTAAGAGAATTAGCTTCATAGAAATGCATTCAGAGAACTGTGCCGTACAAATCAATGTAAATAATGTAAAATATTGTATTTTTGTAATTTATAGACCATCCGGTGCAGATGTAGAAATATTTTTTAAACAAGTTTCTAAAATACTTGACTATTGTGTAAAAAGATTTGATAAAGTTATATTTTGTGGTGATGTAAAAATTGATTATTTAACAAAATCTAATAACAAAAATGATCTCTTAAACTTAATGCAGTGTTACCAATTAAATACGCAAAATATTGAACCAACTAGAGTATTTAAAAATATAAATGGTTTTTTAACAATATCTAAACTTGATTATATATTCACAAATATTGATAATGAGAGCTACTGTGATTCTGTACATAACCTAAGTTTGGGAAGTCATTTCGGTTTGTTAATAGATGTATTAATTCAAATAGTAATCTCAGTAATCAAGCTAAAAATGAGATTTTAACTAGACATCTATATGACTATAGCATTGCTGGTCTAAAAAACTATTTGCAACATGAAGATTTTTCGGAGATATGTAATGGTAAAAACAATAAAGAAATGTTCAAAATTTTCTATGAAATTATTTATTTTGCTATTGATTACGTTTTGTCCACTAAAAAAACACTTATTATTAAATAGAAAAGAAAAATTTAAAAACAAATGGATTACTAGTGAATCAATCGAGTTACGTAAAAAGTTAAACAATCTATATTGGCCAAAGCATAATTTTAGTGATGAAAATTTGGAAATAGAATATAAACTTATAAAAACAAATTAAAATCAGATAAAAAATTATATTATCAAAAAACGATAGAAAATACAATAAATCCCAATGAAAAACAGAAATATGTATGGAAATTAGTTAAAGATAAAACCGGAAAAAAAAAATAACCAAAGGGAAATAAAATTGAATTCTTTATAGCGAATCTGATATTGCGAATAGTTTTGTCAATTATTTTAGTATATCTGCACGATTATTAAATGAAAAAACTCTGTCTCTGTATGTACAAAATGTGATCTTAATAAATGTAATTCATTCTTTTTTAGCCACAGGAGATCTTTGAGATAATACCTAACTTAAAAAATACCAATTCGATCGGTGTTGATTGTATATCAACAAAAAAATATTAAATATATAGCTCTGTAAATTGCACAGCCTCTTTCCGATTTAATAGATATCTCAACTGAAATTGGTCAGTATCCAGAAGAACTGAAAACTGGACTGGTTACTCCCATCTATAAAAAAGAAGATCCTCTGTGTATGGATAACTACAAGCAGATAAATGTTTCAAATGTGATTAGCAAACTTGTTGAAAAATCTATGAATAATAGAATGATTAATTATTTGGATAAACACAATATAGTAACAGAATGTCAAAATGATTTCTACCCTGCGAGGTTTACAGAAGGGGCTGTATATGAATTTGTTGAATTTATCTTTAAAAATCTTGATAACGAGAAAACTGTTATAGCGCTCTTCTTTGATCTTACTAAGGCTTTTGATACCTTAAACTTAGATTTTGTTGAAGAAAAACTATATGCCTTGGGATTTCGTAGCAGTATGTTGACTTGGTTGATGTCATATATGTAAGATATAGAAAAATATTTGTTAAAATAAATCAAACTCAATCAAATGAAGCAGTTGTTAATCTAGGAGTTCCTGAGGGCTCTGTACTTGGGCCACTTATTTTTTTATTGTTTATAATGACTTATCAGAATGTAAGGTTATATATGCTGATGAAGTTTCTTTCGCAACTTATGGTAATTCTCCTTAAGAACTAGCAGATAAATTTAGTCAACTCTATAATAGAATTAAGGAATGGTGCTTGAACAACCATTTAATTCTTAACCATGGGAAAACAGGGAAACCGGCAGGATTTCGACGAGCTGAGAAGATGGCTATTTCTAAACACCCCTTAGGGAAAATTAGCAGGTTTTTGACGAGTTGATAATCTGCACGACTTATGCTGTAGAGCATCCCACTCTCCCCATCATAATGATACTTCCTTAATGTAATTTTTAAAGCTTTTGTGCGTTTTAGAGCCTTATGGTAAGTCAATCCTTGAAATATAATAAAGCACGTAGAATTGACGTTCTACGGATATCTATTTCTTGACGTCCCGAGGATTTACTAAACTGGACATACTTAAAACGTCCAGAATTTGTCCTGGACGTACAGACGATAAATGGATATGAAATGGACGTCCTGTGCTATCTGGGTTATGTGGTGTATTGAATTACTTATAAAATTAGTTCCCAAGTGAAGTGTCACCCTTTACAATAAGTAACAATTTAAATCTCGCTAGAGGACGCTGAAATCAAAAGTAACGAAATTAAATCTACATAAAATTACATTTTCAATGAATTGCCGTAAAAAAAATAAGGGGTGCCTTGTGAAGGGCATTAGAGGGGAGGCAAAATTGTTTGTCATAAAATGTCTTGATTATAATAAATATTTACGTATCCGAGTATGTTCCACGATGTTTGAAAATAACGCAAAAAATAATTAAATTTGTTTCCACACTGTATATTACAGTGATGGGTCTTTTCCGGAACAGTAATTTTTGTATATTTCCGACGGACATGTCCATGATATTTCCGACGGACATGCCCATGACATTTCCGACTGACATGTCCATGACATGTCCGGACAAGTAGTGAAAAGTAAGGGACCTTGAAAACCTTAATATAAAGGTGCAAGGTAGTTTGATGCTGAATTTTAGATAAAAAATTGATTATTTTTTACGTACTTAGTTTATCTTTCTATGGTATCGGCTAGTTTTTGTCCTAATGGTTTTAAAATTGGCAAATAAAATATTATTTAATTAAAAAATGTATTTTATTTGTAGAGATATGCATATTAAAAATAAATCATAAATTAAAAACGAAATAAAACGATATAACTTAAGATTTCAAAAAAAAAATACATGTGGCACTCGAGGACTGCCGCGGTAAAGCTATTGCATAGCATTTTTTATCAACTTATGCAATTATAATTATTTATTTATTTTATTTATGCAGTATTTTTTTCTTTGATATTAATTCAAGTTTTTTCTTTGATATTAATTCAAGTTACACTTTTTGAGCGTGGTGACCGATAAGAAAACAATTTTTTTTCTTTTATTGAATAAATGAGAAGTTAATATTATTTAAAATATTTTTATTATCTTACAATACATGTAGCTTATTCTGGAAATAGGTTTATGGTAACTGAAATAAGAAACATAAGTTTGAGACTTGATATCCTCCAAATATCTGGAAAATACCGCGTCAATGGTGGTCCCATATTTTGTTGTGGATTCTTGTGGATCATTATTCATTATCAGATTCAATTTTTCCAAATTTATGTCTAAAAGAGATAGAATCAGTTAAGAGCAGTTAGTAGCTAGTCTACACGCGTACGTCTAGTCGCACGCACACAAACACCGTGCCAAAGTCTGCCGAACTAGAACGACGTTAGACGATGCACGGATTTCAACGCCGCACGGATTTAAACGCCGCACAGATTTCAACGCCGCACCGCTGTGCCGGTCGGAGTGGTGGGTGTTAGGTTTATTTTCGTTACGGAATTTCTTTTTCGATTTATTGATTTTTCGATTTTCCGATTTTCTTTTATTGAATAAATGAGAAGTTAATATTGTTTAACGCCGCGCCGCTGTGCCGATCGGAGTGGGGAGTGTTAGGTTTTTTTTCGTTACGGAATTTCTTGAGCTTGAGCTATGCAATAGCTTAAAAATTAATATTTTTTCCTACGACCACTTAGGAAAGTGACACATATCACACTATATAGTCCTATGGAATGTGCCCTATATCACACGCGTACGAATATGCTACTTTCCGCAGTAGCTGTCACAAAATGTCAAATGCATCATTTCTATTTTGATCTTTGTAATGTCCATATTAATACTAAAATCGATATGATTGTTAAATTATTGAAATTGTTGTAAATTAGAGCCTAGATATATATCTTTAACAATTATTATTAAAATAATTTTAAAATAACTAAGATACGTTTGCTTTTTATTCTGGTTAAACATATAACTGATTAGATCATTAAATTGACGCATGGCCTATTAGCTTAGATGAGATGAGAGCGTCAAACTTATCAACTTTGCCATTTGAGACTTGGCGAGCGACCGCGTTTAAATCCCGGCGGGGCCAGAATTTTATTTTTGTTTTTTTTATTTTTCGTTGTTTTTTAATTTTTTTTTTGTTTGGAAATGTAATACTATATAAATCTTGCAAAAAATTTGTGATACCAATTTATTAGAAGCCAGAGAAAGCTCTTCTAGTTGCATAAATGATTCAGTCCGCAGACGTATATTTAACTCCGCTTCATACTAATACGAATAGGGTCGGATAAAACCTTCCATGGCTATAACGCCGTACCGCTGTGCTGGTCGGAGTGGGGGGTGTTAGGTTTTTTTCGTTACGGTGTTACGAAATTTCTTGATTCGGTCGCCACTCAAAGCCCGCGATAAAAGCTATGCAATAGCTTAAAAATTCTGCCAAAAAATCTGAATAAAAATAGGGGATTAAAGTGGTTTTGTTAAACTCTGTGAAGAGTACAATTTAGAATGCCAAGCATAATATATATGCATGATTGTTATGTCAGTTGATGTTGTTTTTAGTAGTAAATACCACGTAAACATGATTGAATTCATCAAAATTTTTGCTTTTGACATAAAAGTTAACTTTTAATCAAGTATTTTTTTTCATTTAGATATCATGCAGAGAGGTACAACCAAATATATTCCCTGTATAAATATACATTAAATATGATCCCTAAGTATTTTGCTGAATATAAATGAATATTTCCTGTCTAGTTTTATTTATTAATACAACAATAAGTGAATAGAACTGTTGATAAATTGGTTATGTGCAATTGAACAAATTTTGACCTGGTGAACCATAAAAATCGGATGAAGGGAAAAATATTGCTCATTGATAACACTATCAATTGAATTTTTAATGCACTTGACATGGTAATTTTATCAATCGAACTGATAAAACGTGATATAAATATTAGTTGATATCGGAGTGTATTTTAGCTTTATTTGGGATAAACCTTTACCTACCTGTTACCTAATATTAAAATTAGCAACATGTCAATGGTAAGAAAAATTATATTTTTTTTAAGTTAGTTATTTACGAAATATTAATTTATAATTAAAATACTTTTTAATTAAAAAATGGAGAAATTAAAAAAAATCAATCAAAAGCAATTTATTAAGTGGCAGATAGGCAAAGAAGAAGATTTTAGGTCTGCATTTAATATATTTATTTAAGAATGCTAATTTGAGACTGTAATCTCTAAGTTATCAGAAAACAAATTTTAAAAATGTCGTAAATAACTTCAAAACGACACTAGATATCTTACTTTCAATATAATATCTCAATCTCAATGTGATAATGTAAGAGCCAGCGACAGCCAGACCTACGTCTTAGTATGAAATTTAAGATATTTCATGTGTATGTACACTATAGTACTTAGGTAAAAACGTTTGAGTGTTATGAACCTTGACTAAAGGAGTAACTTTTATCAAGAATAAAATTTTCTGGGAAATGAACAATCAAAAAATGTTCTATAACATAATTTGGCAACTATGTGGATAGCACCTTGAATGCTAGAAAATCGGTTTTAGTAAACAAAATTGGTCTAGTAGTTGTTGGTTATTGATAAACTCCAACGAACGTCTAAGATTGGCCCCAAGAAGTGACTTATAAATGAGATATTATGTGAATTTAGATAAGGATTGACCTAAGATGTAAAAAAACACATTTCTCCAAAACTCTAGACTGTTTCTAACACCCAATCCTTAATTCTACAAAATGATGCATTATTTATATAAAAAAAAAGAATATATATTATATTTCTTAGAATTCTGAAGTAATGATTAGAACCGCAACCGAAACAGATAAAGAACCAATAAGACTATTCCTGAGGAAGTTCTTCTTTAAAGATGAGCCCATGAACGATTCTCAACAATTAATAACAGAAGAAAATCTCGTAAATGAAGATCTAGAGAACTTTGTTTTTCAAAGTTACGGAAAGGGACTCGATTTGGTTGCCGAATATGAAGGAAAATTGGTTGGAGTTTGTTTAAATGGGATAATTGAGAAAGGTGAAACAAAATTAGTTATAAAAGATAATAATATTTACCTAATTAAATTAGTTTTTGCAAAAAATGTCGATAAGTTTGGTTTATTATATTATGAATTGCAGGACCGGATCCGGAAGAATTTCCTTGTACCCCTGGTAATAAATTCGAAAATATTGCACGATTACTGGAACATGTAGAAAAAACTGTTGACTATTTTACTAGATATCCAGATATTGACAGATTCATAGCAATACAGATTTTGTCTGTAGACGCTTCTGTTAGAGGAAAGGGAATAGCAAAAAAATTGGCCAACAGAACAAAGTAAGTCAAACATTGAAATAATAAAATAAATTTTAATTAAAAATCAAATTTTTTGAATTATTTCAGCTCCATATCAATGGAGCAAAACGGAGCAAAAGGGTCGGTATCGAGTAAAAAAAGTAAAACGAGGTACTTTTCAAACGCAGCATAAACAATATGAAAGGTTTTGCAATTATGGACGAAAAACTAGTTCGCCGATAATATTTATATATCCGAAAAAAATTAAATTCGTTAATGGGGCATGTTCAAAAATTTTGAAATTTTTTTTATGAATAATAGAGTTCAAAATAAAGCTACTTTTAATTTTTTTTTTATCTATTCATTTGTCCGAGTTATTAATTTTTTAAAATTTATGACGTCACCGGGAATAGACCAATAGGGACTAGTCACACAATGTTACCAATTAGACGGTATACGAAAAGTAATATACGAGCCTCTTCCCATTTCAGTTGACCCACCGATTGATATTTTCATTATATAACGACAATAAGAAAGTATTAAAGATTACATGCTTTTTTAAATCATAAATTGATTAACAATGCATCAATATACAATTATATTATAACTAGAACTAGAAAACATCAACTGTTTTACTTATTTTTATATTTTTTTACACATGGAGCATTATTGCAATATTTCAACTTGAATTTAATTCTTTAGAAAATAAGCCAGAATTGAAGGTAGCTTTAAAAAAATAACAAATAATGCAGATAACTGTCACAAAACAATTTAACTTCTTTTAAGTTAATTCTGTCTAGTAAAATGGGTAGAGGAAAAATCATTGACGAAAAATAGGTTTTCTTGATATAAAACATTGCAATTCTGGAAAATCGAACTCGGAAATTGCAAATATATTAGATTTTCACGATATAGTGTAAGAAATATAATTAGAAGATACAAAACTACAGGTTCAGTCAGCCCAAAGCCCCGTCATATTAGCAAATGCAAGATTACAAATGCTGATAGACGAGCATTCAGAAGAAGTATTGAAACCAACAGTCGTGCTAACTACCTTGAATTAAGTGCTCAGTGAAGCGATGCTCTTGGAAGACGAATTTCGAGATCTTCATGTCATAGGGATGCTTGCAAACTGGAATTTGGGACTTACAAAGTAAGTTTATAATAATAGAAATAATAAAAAAATGGATTGAACACACTAAAACAATCAAATATGTTTGCTTAAAATTGACAATATTGTTACAGGTTAAAGAAAAAACACTACTAACTGCAAAACAAAAAAAATGATTAAGAAGGGCAAAAGTCCATATGAGTTGGACTTATCATCAATGGGATGCAATACAATGGAGTGACGAGGCCCGATTCGAAGTTTGTGTTGGAGATAGCAGAAGTCGAGTTATTCGCAAAAAAACATGAAGCGTTCCATTCAGACTGTCTCAAAAGAAAAGTAAAATTTCCCGCATGGGTCATGTCATCTAAAGGAATAGGGAAACTGCATTTTATTGAAGGAATTGTAAATACAAATAAATATTTGGACATTTTGGAGGAATCACTTTTACCGACTGTGGAATAATATTTGACATCAGGGTAAGATTTTGTATTTTAACAGGATGGAGCAGGATGTCACACGTCAAAAAAGCCCTAAAATGGATGAAAGACTTCGATATCCACTTTTGGAATGGGTTTCTAGTAGTCCTGATTTATCACCAATAGAAACGTTGTGGCATGAGATGAAAAAGGTACTTTGAAAATATCCTGTAAGAACAATACCTGAACTTAAACAAAAACTTCAAGATATATGGGATTCTTTTACACCAGAATTTTGCCAAGGCTTAGTTAATACCATGCCGCAAAGAATTTCAGCTGTAATAAAAAATATTTTTTTAAATGATGGATTAACCTTTACATGTAAGAAGTGGGTAGTACCACACAAATGTCTCCACAGTTCTTGTTATTCACCACACAAGAGTCAGCTCACTGATTCTACCAAAAAAAGAAAAACAGGAAACAAAAAAAATGTTGGCTGGAAAATAACTTACTAGAGGCATTTTTCATCTCTATTTAATAAACATACACTGGATTTTCAAGATGCAGCAGGAATTTTTGACATTGTCCCCTTCAGTTAATTTAAAATGAGCCTACTATAAGTTCAAAGGTGTATATCCTAAAACCCCTTTTGCAAGAACCTGACTCGAAACCTCCTGAAAGTTTTAAAGATAGTGAAGTTTTGTTTGAATCGGAAGAAACATCTTTAATATCTGATTCAGAGGGACTTAATAATAAGCAGAATCTTCAAAACCAATGAACTTTCAAAATTGAAAATAAACCGAAGGTATATTTAGGATTGCCCAACAGTGTTTTTAAAATCCTCAATATTTATGAGAAGGAAAGTGTAGACATAAACCTTTTACATTTCTGTGTGAATAAGTGGTATTTTTAACTTAAAAGAACTCATTTTGTAAGACTAAATACCAAATAATTTAATAAACTGTTTGTTTGTTTTTATTAATTTATTTCAGAGATTATAATAATTGTATATAAACAAAAATGTAAAATCTGTGAAAATTTTATTTATTGACCTATTATTAAAAAATAAAAATAACTGAATAAGATAAACGAAGTAAAAAAACACTTTATTTAAAAATAATAAAAAATATATACACAAGCCCTAACAATAATGGAGATGTCAAATTAAAATGTCCTCTAAAGATTCATTATCAAATTCAACTTCGACTTCATTATTTACTTGAAATGTGGAAGAAACAATGCAAAATACTTTATGTTCATGTGTAATTATTCCGTTTACTGGGCAAATATCTCCTTTTCTCTAATGTGATGATTTTTTTAGTATTTTCAAGAGTATATTTTTATGAATTCCTATTTTTTTTTTTTCAATTTTTATTACTTGTCTATGTTCCAAATTATTTCATAAAATATTATCGTAGATTGATTCATGTAAATACTAGACATGTGTATAATAGTTTTAACGGAAAGAGTTTGTATATTTACAAAAAGTAGTCATTCATTCACAAAAATGTACGTATATTACAATTATTTACAAGACATATAACAAGTAGGTAATCCTCGACAAATAAAAATAGCAAATAAACGACTCTAGATTTAAATTTAAATTTGAAAAATACATTTTAATTTTTTTTTTTAGAAAACTTTTAATATTGTTATATTCTATCATTTTTATTAGTGCCTTAGAACTTTACACCTTATCCTACTAAATATAATAAATGATTGTAATAATTGTAAATATTCGCTTTGCCTAAATAAAGAAATTTTCATTAAAAAAAAAAGTAAAACATTGAGAATAAGGCATAGAATTTTTATTAAAAAAAGCTATACCAATATATCAACGTATCAACTATACTTATTTTGATATTATTTGTAGGGAACTAGGACGTCAACACAACGCACAACTTTTGGTAATTGAATGTTCGAGCTTTTACTCTGCAGCTGTTGCGAAGTCATTGGGTTTTGAACAAATATTTTCTATGGATTATGCTGATTATAAAAAAAATGGAAAGGATGTTATCATTCCTGCACCCCCGCATAAGTCATTCACAGTATACGTGTCAAAACTGTAACAAAAATATGCCTGCATAAATAAATGAAGCTGTTCAATTAAAAGATTGATTGATTTACCTGGTAGGAAATATCAATAAGTATTCTATACTATTTTGTACAAATAACAACCTGTTTAAATAAATAAATTAATCAAAGGTGGACCCTCCTGTACATTAGTTAAAACTACGAATGTGATTATCTGTTGAAGCTGAATTTTGTGCCGAATACATTATTGATTCTTGTTTGGAGTATGCAAAGTAATGAAATAATGATTAGTGTGTGATTCTCGTTGTTGGCTATTTCTCGCTATTCCGCTTTTAGGAAATTGCATTAAATTACCAATGTTCCAATACCAAATTTGATCTTGATTTTCTATTTCCTTATAGATGCATAAGTATTTTTAAGACTGTTAAAAAACTTGAGGTTTTATGCAAATCACATGGTGACAAGTCTGGGATATAGGGTGGATGCTCTAATACTTTCTATCTCATTTGTATATGAATATGAAGTGGTGGACTACAAAAATTGAGTTAAACATACAATAATACAATAGGAATACTAACAAACTGATAATGTAAACAATGCTATTAAAGAAAAACAATCTTTTTTACATTTTTTGTTTCAAATTATATAATAAATGGGTTTCAGTTGAATAAGCAGCCTTGTATTTACCGCGGATTTGCGGTCCATAAGAAATAACATTCTACGAACATAGGATACTGACATTACCACGGGGTTTGAATTTTCGTTCCATCTTTTTTTTTAGACGCCAAGGTCAAGAATATGATCCCTTGGAACCTGCTGTTCAGTAATAAAACAGTCGTTTTATTTGTATTTTTACTTTACATAACATTATTCGGATTTAAACCTAATAACTACTGTTATCTTACATTTATCAGCACATTAAACAAGAATATTTGAGTTGGATACCCTTCTTTAGTTTAATTTTAATATTTTTTGTTTGGCATAATGACTGAAATGATGTTTTACTTCTAACGTGTTAAAATATTTTCTTGTTAATTGGTTGTTTTATTTTTAATACTGTTTTCAATCAAATAAAAATGCTCTCAAGAAATCTACGGCAATAAAAACTGCTTAAATATTTGAAACAGTTTTTTTTATTATATTTTACAATATAGTCTTCTTAAAATTAATTATATATCATATACATAGACCATATTTTCTGTGTGAAGTGTAATATAAAATTATTATTAGGTTTATAATAGGCACATTAGACTCCATTAATGAAGAAGTTTAATTCTGCTTTCAATTATACAAAATATTCTCCATTATTATTTAATTAAAAAGTTGTACATTATTTTTCATTTCATTTAACCAGTTGATATGTCCCCAAAGAACAGGTCAAACTTTCGGGTATTTACCTGGAAATACTCATAAAAATTTTAATCCGAAACTTGCGTAAGTATAGCGAACAGACTGTATTTTCTTTTGAACAGTAGCGGCTCGTGGGCACTAGCGGCAGTGGGGTACACACTAAAAAAGTATCCCGGGATTCGTTTTTCCCTTAGGAAAACAAGTTCTCCACTTAATGAAAATTAAATATATTTCAAAACAATCAGTTGGGACAATAACGATTTCTGAATGTGACTACAAGGAAAATGCATTTAACTATGTATGTGGCCATTAATCAAAAAATTATTACATATCCACTCTTGCGAAATTTGCGTAAATTTCTCAGAAGAATGCAATTTACTCTAACTTGTTAACGCATTTTAAAGCATACGACTCTGAAGAAAAGGTGTTTGGCAATTTAAAATCTCCCAGCCAAAAATTTCTCTTTTATATTTTCAAATTAGAAAAAATATGTGTATCTCTATTTGATAGTTTGTCAACTAAGCCTGGAATTTCCAACGCATACCTTTTTGAGATGAACAAAATAGAATTTGGTCATCCTTGCCAACAATTTTCGAAAATGTACACCATTAAATTATTTATAAGACTAAGAATTTTTTATACTCTTAAATATGCAGAGATTTGAAATCCTCGAAAAAGTCAGACAAATCCGAAAGAAAAATTAAAATTTTGTCCCATTTATAAATATTATTGATTTTTTTCATCATATTTTTGACTGCTTTATAAAAACAAAGTTATTTTTCTCTGTAGTTTTATTTCTTAACTATTCCAATGGTCCAACTAACGTTTTTTCGTAATCTAAATAAATTATTATCATGGTCCAACAAACGCGCACCTTAAACCGAAACCGGCATCGCCTTTGTGAGGGAGCCAGTAAAGATGCCGTTGCGTACATTCGTATCTGGTCTAGGTAATCTGTGCCATGAGTACAGCACGTCACGATAAGGACAGCGCCCCGCTTCTGACGTATCATCCATCGCATGTGTTCATCTCTTGCTAAACGATATTGTCGTTGTCCTTGTTTTTCGCATTATAATGAGAGAGAAAACAACAGAGGCACACATTTACTGTGCCCTGTGCCCATCTTTCTTCCACTTAATTTCGGAATTCTTGGAATATCGCTCAACGCCCGGTCGTCCAGTGTCGTGCCAACGCGGTGTACGCTGAATATTAAATAAAATAATAATAGGCATTGATGAAAATATAAAATATGTAAGTTATTTTTTTTTTGTTTATTATACTAAGGCATGTGCCCAAGTGCCCTTACGGGCAAACCGCCACTGCTTTTGACAGCAGATTTATTTGTTTTTTGAGAATCTTAAATATATTTACGCTTTTCTATTCTCATAAGAAAAGGATAACAAGTTTAGAATAATAGGTAATAATAAATAAATATAAATATCTGATGTGTAAAACACATGACTTTCCTCTTTAGTTATTTCAGGTTTTTTTCGATTATTTTTCCTCAAATTTTGGTCCATATTTAAAATAATAGTTATAGAGAATGAAATCCAAACAATTTTTATTTGAACAAAACATTTATTATTGCAACATATAACAGATATTGTTGTTTGGTGTATTTCACAAAAAACAAAATCAAATACGGGCTTTGTGTGTCATCGGCTAACCATTTTAACTACCAAAAGTTCACATGCTTTGGATTGCTTAATTGAAGGAAAAAACAATAAGAATAAGTCCAGGACTGCTGTTTTTTATAAAAAGGGTTGTGGCCAGTTGTGGTATTCCTATACCACGTAGCTATGCTACTAATGCGGATCAACACGTTAATTATATTTCTGCAAGTTTTTATCAACCTGCATTGTGCTAAGATGCAGGATCTTGTCCTATTTCTTTTGTCCGTACACCACTCCACACTTCATATAATAAATAATGCAAAACCGAGATTTTAAAAAACATAACAACCAACCCGTGATATCCATGACAATAGATTAATGTTAAACGTGTACATTCGAGGCGGGTTTGGTCATACGGAACCGTTTATAGAATGTTACACCCAAGGGTACTGGTACTGTTGCTCCGAACAACTAAAATAATGCATTTTGTCAAGATACTTATCTTATACCTAACAAAAAAATATGTTTTTAATTGAGAAATTTTGAAGGACCCAAGTCGTTTGCCTTAAAATTTATTTTTTCAATCTATGCAAACAATAAAAAAATGTTAATAACTATCTACTGGTTGTTTTTATTACAAGCAATCGATGAGAAATGGTGATAAAATTAATAATGTCGGGCGTAATTAAAAATTTGATTAGATATCAATGTTAACGTAGCATGAGGAAAACATTTTTTGTTGAGAATTATTTTTTTTTATTGTAATTTATAAAAAAGGTGCTGGTGGAACGATCATTTAAAACATTTTATACATTTTTCTATGCCCACCAATGTAAATGTCAAAAATCCGACCTCCAATAATGCTATAAAATCGTGATAAATTAAAAAGTGCGTTTTTATAACAAAACTGTATTTTAATTGTTTAATCAAATTATGTCCAGTTATGATTAATTTATAATATAAAAAACACAAAAATTATGTGATTTAGTAAAAGAAGATAAAAAAAATGACAATTACCACCTCCACCTAAAGTCAGTCCTGGATTTGTCAATAGGCCGTCTAGGCCGCGGCAGATTTCAGAGGACGCTCACTCGATTTCATAGGATAAAAGTCAAACAAGTTCACTGGTTTTCTCATGGTTTTTTATAGTCGATATTATTTGTATTTTTCCTAATATATCAATAAAAAATGTAAATAAATTAATGCTGTTCTGAGTGTATTTATAATGACCTCCGATACCACGGAGTAACCGTGCTTTGGGATTTACACAACCTCCAAATAGTTGGACGAAAAAGACGAAGATTTATATATCTAACAAAAAAATCTCAAATGAACTACTAACAGCATTTAAATAATTATTTTGTTATACCTCCTGGATTACTGAGTTTTTAGGTCACTCTTCATTCGATTTAGTTTTTAATTTCTATTCTTGATGACTTTCAAGGTTAGATTACTAGGTAACAATAATTATTAGATATATGTATAGGGTGATACCTTTTATTTCGTCATGTATTAAATTTGCCAGTTCTATAAGGACTGAAAGCCGTTTCTTTAAAGTTAACTCAATGCAGTAAAGTTAAGATTAACTTTCAACATTTTAAATTTGAAATAGAAGAACAGTATTTAGAAAAGGATATGTTTGAGTATGCCAGCACAACTTTAGGAGAGCACTGTCTATAAGAAACACATGAATAACCAAATGCAGACACTAAAATACCAAAATAATACCAAAACTTTATGTAAATTATTTAATTAAAAAGTTTCATCGCAAAATCCATACTCGTTTATGAAAACAAGCATCTGTTCTCTAATAAATTCTAGGGATAATAAGAGCAATTTCACTTCCAAGCTCGAAGCAAAGACAAATTCAATGAAAATGGAAAATTAACGGTTTTCCTGGAAAAATATGAAAGTCGGTTTACTTCAATTTCCTTTTCTATAATTTTTTCTTAAAATCTCATTTTCTATTTTCCCATTTCTTGAAGTGAATTTTATTCCAGAGACCTGATGATGTAAACAGGAAAGTACTTCCCATTTTTGTTATGCTTATTTACGAATTATTACGAATTCTTAATACTACTAATATTTAGTTCCATATAAGCAAGTATTATTAGCAGTGACAGCTTGTTTGTAAGGATTGAAGGACCACAGCCCTTAAGTAAAATAGAAAACCAATATACATAAATAAAAAATTATTTATAACTTTTATATGGCTCCTTTTGCTGTACGTGTTCCAATCATTATCTAGCAGCCTATCCCTGGCGTTCAATATATTTTTCGTTATCTGGTGTTGCTGGCTGGCAGAGTCAAAAATAGTAGCACCCTGAATTCACGTATTTGGACACTCAGCTCGAGCCACATAGCTTGATTGAAGTTTTACATGCAAAAGGGCTACAATATGTCCGCCTTGCTCCTGTGTATACAATGTGTCTATTTATTATCTTTGCCAATGTTAGGATAACTTCAAATATATTTTTGATTAGGGAATTTTATAATATTATGAATGTTTAAAACTAGAAAGTTAATTAAATTTAAATAGATATGTTTTTTATGTAAAAACTTATTTTAT